CACCCTCCCTCCCTCTCTCACACTCACTCTTCTCCGGGTGTGTGTGTGTGCGTGTGCGAGTGTATGCCTTTGGGCATCAACAGCTTAACATTTCCACCTAGATTTGTATCATCAATAAAATTGATGTATCTGTTTCTTAGTCCAAGTTAATAACGTGGATTATAAGTGCTTCAGAGCTCTATGTTAATCCTTGTGGCATTCCACTAATTACAGCCTGCCAAATTGACCCATTATCCCTCCTCTCTGCTAGGTGTGTACCAAACGATCAGCCACTCTCTTGTATTCTCTCTCCTTTTCATAAATGATAATGTTACACTTACTAACTCAAGTTTATTAGGTCTTTTCTGGACCCTTGGAACCTCATAGCCAGTGCGTCCATTATCTCTGTATCTCTCTTTTTGAACTCAAGGACATAAGCTAGTGGGTTCTGGGGGTTGTTGGGTTTTAGTCACTTAATTTTCTCCAACATATTTTCTATTAATAATGGATACTTCAGGTTCCTTACATTTATTAGTCTCTTGGTTATCCTCCATTTCTGGTATGAGTTGTTTCTTGTATGTTTCCACCTGTTCATTTACTGTCATAGTTTTTAGTCTATTTAGCCAATCAACTACAGCCAGCTCTACCATTTAATTTGCTTTAAGTTGAAAATTCTTATTTGGGACTACAGTATGTGAGTTTCAAACATAATGTTTAATTCAATGTTATGGTCATCCAGCTATTCTGAAGATGAATCACTGGACTTGATACATTGACACGTGCTTTCTGTCCCAAAGTTACTGCCAGACCTACTGAGTTTCTCCAGCAGTTTCTGTTTTTGTCTGATTTCCAGCCCATGCAGTTCTTTTTTTTTATAATGATCATTAGTAAATTGGGGTTAGAATTCCTTGTTGAACTCTAAGGAAGGGGTGAGTGGCAATGGGGACGAAGTGGCATGAGAATTCAGTATTACCATAAGACCATCAGACAGAAAAACAGGAGTAGGCTGTTCAGTTGCTTGAGCCTGCTCTGCAATTCAGTTGGATCGTTGCTGATCTGATATTCCTCACGTCCATTTTCCAACATTGTTCCTGTAATCCTTGATTCTCCTATTGATCAAGAAATCTAACTATCTTAGCCTAAATATACACAGCTGTCTGTGGTTAGGAGTTCCAAAGACTATCAACCCTCTGAGAGAAGAAATTCCTCCTCATCTAGTTTAAATTGGCACTTCTTAATTCTGAGATTATACTGTCTGGTCCTAGACTCTCCCATAACAGGAGAACATCCTCTTAGCATTTACTTTTTCAAGCCCCTCCAGAATCCTGTATGTTTCAATGCAATCCCTTCTTATTCTAAAATTCCAGTGAATAGACTCCCAACCTGTTTAGCCTTTGCTCATAAAGTAATCCCTCCATACCAGGGCTTATTCAAGTGAACCTTCTCTGAACTGCCTCCAATTAAATCAAATCTTTCCTTAAATAAGGGAAACAAAACTGCTCGCAGTCCTCCTAATGTGGTTGCAGTAAGACTTTCCTACTGTTATATTCCAACCCCCTTGAAATAAGGGACAACATTCCTTCCTGATTACCTGCTGCACCTGTATGGTAGCTTTCTGTGTCTCTTTGTGTTGCAGCTTTCTGCAGTTTCTGTCCATTTAAATAACATGGTGTGTTTTTGATCTCCCTTTTGTAATGAACAACTTCACATTTTCCCACAATGTATGCGTTAAGTGAGAAGGAAGGACAATTTTGCCAACAGAATGAACTTCTGTGCTTTACTGGACCCTGTGATAAATAGTGTGTGTAGGTATCAGTTTGAAATGTTTGATATTAATGAAAGTTTTGCACAAATTTCTTGTAGGAGAAGCAAGTGCCAATCTTGGAAAAACCCAAAGACTGGGCTCCACGGCCACCGCCAGAATTTGTTCGTGATGTCATGGGTAAGTGTTGGTCTTTATCAACACTTTTGCTGGCTCTTTATGTTCCAGTCCCCTCTGCTCTAAAGCAATAAATTCCATTGAGGTTGCTGTACCTTTCCAAGTGATCTTTCTTCGGACTGTGTCAGGAGTCTGTGTAGTCCAAAAGCCATTTCTGAAAAAAGACGACATTGCACAAAACCTGTTGGACTATAACCTGGTGTCGTGAGATTTCTGGCTTTGTCCACCCCAGTCCAACATTGGCACCTCCACATCATGAAGCAGGATCTGTCTCCACAGAAACATTACTACGAATTAGATACTGAGGAATATGTAAAATGATATACAGTGATGTTTGTTGAAAGGGCATTCAGACTTTTAGAAAGCACAATAGCTGTGTCCAATCTTGTCTGATATGCTCAGTAACCCCCCACAGGAGATGTCCCTGACCATGGATGAGTACTAACCAGCTAATAATTGGATGCTGCAGCCCAGTTTGCTTCCCTCCTCTTCTTCCTCCCAAAGCCGCCACCACCTTCCAAAGCTGTTGGGATCCCAGTGAAGTCAGATAAACACATGAATAGGAGCCAGAGGAGGCCATTCAGGCCCTCAAGTCTGCTCTGCCATTCAATAAGATCATGGCCGATCTGACGTAACCTCCTCCACATTCCCACCTATCCTAATAACCTTTTAACTCCTTGTTTAAGAAAATCTATGCACCTCTGCCATAAAAAAAATTCAAAGCCTCTGCTTCTACCACCTTTTCAGGAAGAGAATTTCAAAGAGACGGGACCTTCAGAATAAAAGTTACCTAACCTCTAAATGGGTGACCCGTGAGTTTTTAAACAGTGAGCCCATGTTTGAGATTCTCCACAGACAAAATCTCCTCTCCACTGTTCTGCTGTAGTTCTAACAGATCAGAAAGCAACCTTATGGGACCTTGCAGCATACCCAGCTAAATGCGTAGGGTACCCTCAAAGTTTTTGAAAAGAAAATGCCTTGTTCTGCAGTCTTTCTTGTTCCTTGGGTTTTTCTGGTTAGTGTATTATCTGACTGATAAGTAATTTACTCCTTTGCATTCTTGAAGGACTCAGTAAATCAATGACTTGCAGTATGACGTGAAGGTGTGTAATTGGCATTCTGTGCAGATGAGGTTCTGTTCTCCTCACTCACCTGCGATGTGCTAGTTTCCTTTTATAACTTTCCATTGCATATATTTTGCGAAGTTTTTTATGCAACTTTAAGATGGTTGGTAATATTGGCACTAGTGAAGGAGGTGACACAGCGGCCATAGTCAGTAAATCTGTTGCATTTTGTTTCAAACACATTATGATGGAAGTGAAAGGTTGTCTATTATTTCAGAACTAACCTTTTAGAAAAGAATTGGTTCTGGAACAATGAGGTGGAGTAGTAACTGGGTTACGGCTGTGAACCAAGAGAAAGGACCATGTTTGTGAGTCAGGAGAGTACTGATACAACAGCTTTCTTCAAGTGGAAGAGCTGCATATACTGGAGACTATCTTAGAATCCCTACAGTGTGGAAGCTGGCCATTCGGTCCATCATGTCCACATCAACTCTCTGCAGAGCGTCCCACTCTGCACGTCCCTGGACACTCTGGGCAATTTAGCATGGCCAATCCACCTAACCTTTGGACTGTAAGAGCAAATCAGAGCACCCAGAAGAAACCCATGCTGACACAGGGAGAATGGGCAGATTCCACACAGACAGTCACTTGCAGGTGGAATCAAACCTGGGTACCTGGCGCTGTGAGGCAGCAGTGTTAACTACTGAGTCACTGTGCTGGCCCAGTGGAGCAGTGCCATTAACGGTCTAGTGGGGAAAAGCTTTTAGAAGTAATCATTTAGTATTTACACACTAATTAGGGGCAGAAGTAGATCGCATTCAATAAGATCATGGCTCGTCTGTGTTTCCAATTCCATATTCGCATCTACCTCTAACTTTTAATTCTCCTGCCTTAAAAAATATTCAGTGACCCCCACCTTGATCAGCCTTTGAGGCAGAGTCTTTTAAAGTCTCTCAACCTTCAGAGCAAATGTTTCTGCTCATCTCTGTCCTAAAAGGGCAATCCATAATTTTTAAAGAGTGCCTTTAGTTCTGGACTGACCTACAACTTTCCCACAGCCACCTTGTCTATATTTTTGCAGGATCTTGTACACTTTAACCAAGTCATCCCTCACGCTTCTGAACTCCAATGGATTATGCCTAGTTTGTTCAACCCCTCAAAATAATTTGCTCATTCCAGATATCAATCTAGTAAAGCTCCTCTGGACTGCTTTAATGCATTTACGTCCTTTCTTAAATAAGACGAGAACTATGCCTGGTTTTCAAGACGTGGTCTCACCTAAGCTCTGTGTAACTGAAGCATGACATCATTTCTTTGATGTTCACTCCCTCTTGTAATAAAGGCAAACATCCATTAATCACCTTAATTATTTGCTGCACCTTTAAACTAACAATTTATGACTGGTGCACTGGAACACCAAGATCTTGCTGCAGCTCAGAATTCTGTAAGTGTTGTCCATTTAAGTAATACTTTATTCCTGCCAAAATGAACCACTTGCCATTTCCCACATTATACTCCATTTGCCACGTCTTTGCTTCTAACTGGATGGGTCAATTCAGGATTGTTACAAAGAAATCATGCTTGGCAAATGTAATAGTTTTAAGTGATGAATAAAAACTTAATTAAAAGAAATGCGGAAGGTGTTCAGTAAAGTGTGACCCAAAACTTAGAAAACTTCAGGCATGTATTTGGAATTCTTTGCAGATGAGTTGCTGTTCTCCTCTATCACCTGCAATGTGCCATTGTTGTCCTATTTTGTTTGTTTCATCCCAGTAAATCAGTGCTTTCATTTTTCCCTTTGGTTGCTTCAGATCCAAGAGCAATGTGAACTGGTGATTGGACTGACTGAAGAGCTTGTGGTGCTTCCCTCCCTTTCCTTGTTATCTTTGAATGTACATCTGGACTTCTGTCCTGAATTTAGAGCCCCTGCATTTTATTTAAAATGGAATGTAAACCTAAATCAGTAACTAACCTGTTTCATGAAAGTGTTTAAAAGCCAGAAAAAATAGGAGATTTCTGCCATCATCTCTCTTGCCCTTGTACACTTTGGCAAATTGGAAACATCCTTTCCATAATTAGACATTATACTATATGACCAATAATTATTAATATTCTTCAAGTGGGGAGCTGTAACAGATCGGTTGAGACTGTTTGAGACATTCTGAACTGTGACTGTTGTAACCCTTCCACCGGACGGTCTGCAGATGCGCTGAGTGTAAGCCAGTCACGTTATGGTATTTTCTTTCTGAATGCTGGTACAGATGCCAGAGTGGAGTTGCTATGTGATGGACAGTCCTTTACATCAAACATTAATACAATTTTTTGATTTGAATGGTAACTGTTCTGTTTTACTGTACATCCTTTTCTCTGCATTCTGTGTCATCACTGTGCTGTGATAATAGGATCGAGTGCTGGTGCAGGTAGTGGAGAATTCCATGTCTACAGACACCTGCGGCGAAGGGAATACATGAGGGAGGAGTTCATGGAAAAGCAAGCAGCACAGGTGTGTGATTCTTGTCAATACTTTAAGTAAAAGGAAAGCAGTGTTCGTCTGAATGCCAGGATCGGTGTACATCCTAATTGGTGTTTGCGAGATTGCAACCATCTAAAGCTGTTGCTGTGTTAAATGCAATGGTTTTATTGAATTTATGTCCTCCAGTCTCTGCTAGCAGTATAATTCTACACTGCTCTCAGAACTGTCTGTAATGGTGCTTTGCCCTAGTGAGTTCAGACAGCCTGTGGTGAATGTGAGATGCATATCCTTGGCACTGGTTGTACTGTTGGGATGGGAGTTTGGAGACCAGAAGGTTTAGAATATAGATTTACTTTGTTAAAAATCTTGTAACAGTGATCATTTCTCAGTGTTCAGTTAATGGGTAATTGGTATTAAACCTCTCCTGGGAAGACTGATGCCATTATTTTCAGTTCTTGTTGCCAACTTCATTGATTTCCTTGTCAACTGTCTAGAATTTAACTAAGCTGTTTACAAACTCTGAACCCTGTTTGAATATAGATGATATTGATACTGCCATGAAGACCACCTTTTACCAAATCACATCTCTGCCCTTGTCTCAGCTCATCTGCTGAAAATTTGTCTATTTCTTTGTTACATAGAACCATAAAATGGAAGGAGGAGTAGACCATTTGGCCTTCCAAGTCTGTGCCGCTCTTAAGCATGATCATGGTTAATCACTTTACTTTGTATTCTGTTCCCACTCTTGCCCCATACCCTTTGATACCTTTAACCCTAAGAATGATATCGAACTCCTTTTAGCCTTAACTACTTTCTGTGACAAGGGAATTCCACAGGCTTACCACTCTCTGGGTGAAGAAATTTCTCCTCGTCTCAGTCCTAAATGACTCTCCCTGTGACTCCTGGTTCTGGAATCCCCCCCACCCTGGTCATTGGGAACATCTTTCCTACATTTACCCTGTCTAGTCCTATTAGAATTCTATCCTCTGAGGTTCCCTTCATAGAAACATAGAATATAGGAGCAGGAGGAGGCCATTTGGCCCTTCGAACCTGTTCCGCCATTCTTCACACTCATGGTTGATCATCCAACTCAATAGCTTAATCCTGCTTTCTCCCCATAATCTTTGAACCCATTCGCCCCAGGTGCTATACTAGTCGCCTCTTGAATACATTCAATGTTTTGGCATCAACTATTTCCAGTGGTAACGAATTCCACAGGCTTATCGCTCTTTGGGTGAAGAAATGTCTCCTCATCTCCATCCTAAATGGTCTACACCGAATCCTCATACTGTGGCCCCTGGTTTTGGACATACCCGCCATCAGGAACATCCTTCCTGCATCTACCCTGAACAGTCCTGTTAGAATTTTATAAGTCTCTATGAGATTCCCTTACCTCATTTGTCTGAACTCTAGCAAAAACAATCCCAACTTCATCAATCTCCTCATACGTCACACCCGCCATCCCCGGAATCAGCCTGGTAAACTTTCACAGCATTGCCTCGAGAGCAAGAGCATCCTTCCTCAGAAAAGGAAACCAGAACTGCACAATATTCTAGGTGTGGACTCACCAAGGCCCTGTATAACTGCAACAACACATCCCTGCTCCTGTACTCCTTCTCTCACAGTGAAGGCCAATTGCCTTCTTTACCACCTGCTGTACCTGCATGCTTACCTTCAGTGACTGGTGCAGAAGGACACCCAGGTCCTGCTGCACACTCCCCTCTCCCAATTTACAGCCGTTCAGGTAGTAATCTGCCTTCTTGTTTTTGCTTCCAAAGTGAATAATGGTCTAGTCTCTCTTCACACACCAGTCCTGTCATCCCAGGAATCAGTCTGGTAAACCTTCGTTGCACTCCCTCCATAGCCGAAACATCCTTCCTCAGATAAGGAGACTAAAACTGCGCACAATATTCCAGGTTTTGTCTCATCAAGGCTTTCTACAATTGCAACAAAATATCCCTGTGCCTGCATTCAAACCTTCTCACTATGAAGGCCAACATACCATTTGCTTTCTTTACCACCTGCTGCACCTGCATGCTTAGTTTCAGTGACTGGTGTATGAGGACACCAAGGTCTCATTGCATCTCCCCCTTTCCCAATCTATTGCTATTCAGATAATAATCAACCTTCCTGTTTTTACTACCAAAGTGGATGTCTTCAAATTTATTCACATTGTCCATATCGATACACTACTCCCAATTCCATGTGATTTTAATTTTACACACTAGTCAGTTTTATGTTGGACCTTATCCAGACTTGACTATTCCAATGCTGTCATGGTCAGCCACATACATTCTGTCAACCTGAAGTTGCAAATGGTTTCTGTGTCCTTGTAAGGCAATCACTCAACTGCAACCACCACCTCTCTCCATACCCCCAGTTAAGTGACCTGACTTGCAATGAAACAACTAAAATTCCTGTCCTTGTTTTCAAATCCCTGAATGTCTTCATTCCCCCTGTTATGACCGTCTTGAGAAAATGTGCTGATTCTGTGAGCACACTGAAGTGTTGCCACAAAGTTAATGATTTAATCAACAACATAAAGTCTCTGACTTAGCCGTCTAATGGAGTCAGGTTACAGAAAACACTGACCAGGCTCCTTTGCTTAACAAGAACTCCTGTTTGTTATAAATAAATGCTCATCACAAGTAAACAGCTATGAATCATCAACAAATGCCCGTACAAGCTAAAAATCCAACCTCCTTTTAAAATCCCTATAGACAGACACAGACAAAGAAAATATATGCGTTATAGATGGAAGAAAAAAGCGTAAACACAGTTCGGTAGCACCAGTCTGCAGGCTTCGATAATTTGTTCTCTTTCCCTTCCAAGACTTTCTGTTCTCAGGAGTCCTTCCTTCCACATTCTTGGTTCTTTGCTAAAGATACAGGTGATTTACACATCGATGGCCTAGTAGAATTCCCGCTTGACTGTTAATCCTGAGTTCGAATCCTGCAATGGCAAAATTTGAATTCCAAAGAAGAAAATCTGGAATTAAGTGTCTAATGATCATGAAACTATTGTTGATTGTCAGGAAAGCCATTTGTTTTAGTAATGTCCTTTTAGGGAAGGAAACTGCCATCCTTACCCAGTGTGGTCTACATATGACTCCAGACCACAGCAATATGGTTTACTTGTAATTAGCCAGCATTCATTGCTCATTCCTCTGGGCAGTTAGAGATGAACAATGAATGGAGTGCAACGTGGGAAAGTGTGAGGTCATGCACTTTGGTAAGAAGAAGAAAAGCATGGACTATTTTCTAAATGGGGAGAAAATTCAGAAGTCTGAAGTGCAAAGAGACTTGGGAGTTCTAGTCCAGGATTCTCTCAAGGCAAACTTGCAGGTTGAGTCAGTAGTCAGGAAGGCAAATGCAATGTTGGCATTTATTTTGAGAGGACTTGAATAGAAGAGCAGGGATGTACTACTGAGGCTTTATAAGGCTCTGGTCAGGCCACATTTGGAGCATTGTGTGCGGTTTTGGGCCCCATATCTCAGGAAGGATGTATTGGCCGTGGAGCGGGTTCAGAGGAGGTTCACGAGAACGGTCCCAGGAATGGAAAGCTTAACATATGAGGAATGTTTGAGGACTCTGGGACTATACTTGTTGGAGTTTAGAAGGATGAGGGGGGAATCTAATTGAAACTTACAGAATACTGAACGGCCTGGACAGAGTGGATGTTGGGAAGATGCTTCCATTGGTAGGAGAGACCGGGACCCGGGAGCACAGCCTTAGAGTAAAGGGAAGACCTTTTAGAATGGAGATAAGGAGAAACTTCTTCAGCCAGAGAGTGATGAATCTGTGGAATTCACTACCACAGAAGGCTGTGGAGGCCAGGTCATTGAGTATATGTAAGAGTGAGATAGATAGGTTCTTGATTATCAAGGGTTACGGGGAGAAAGCGGGAGAATGGGGTTGAGGAACTTATCAGCCATGATTGAATGGCGGAGCAGACTCGATGGGACGAATGCCTAGTTTCTGCCCTTATGTCTTATGGTCTTATGGAATGCTGGCCTAACTAGTGAAGTCCGTATCCTATGTATGAGTAACGAAAAGTTCAATTCACATTTACTGTTCAGAGGCAACAGCTCACAGTAAATGGAGGGAAAGAATAACTGTCTCCAGGTTTGAGTTACTTGCTACAGAGATACAGAGGGAGATCCTGCCTGGCCTGTCAAACCTTCTGTCACTACTGTTCAGACTAAAGCTGTTCAGCTGCTCGAACTAACAAATGAGTGACTGTCAGGCTAATGATCTTTAGCATTCACATCTAGTCATTGTTACAGAAACCCATTGACTACCTGTTGCTAGCCAAATCTCACTCTCCACACAGTCTGGTGCCATGCTATCTTATCTCCTGCAAAGCAACAATGTAAACACAACCTGCAATATGTGCTGGTAACTTATTTCTAAAAGTGCAGCAATTACTGCTCCAGTGCTTGTGTTGATAATGGTTCTTTTCCATTATAGTCCACAATTAAAACTAAAAAAAACTAAAAAGATGCAGCCCTTTCATTCCCTATCTCTGTCATCTCCTCAACCCCTGGTACCATTCAAATTCTGGCATCTTCTGCATGCCAGAGAGCTGTGGGGCTGAATCTTTGAATTAAAGGCTGAGAGAGAGATTTTGAACATTATGAAGTTGAGGATTATTAGCAACAGATAAGAAAGTGGCATTGAAACCAAGATTAAATCCACCATGATCATGCTGAGTAGCAGAACAGACTCGAGAAACCAAATAACCAGGGTGCTGACTGAGGGAGGAGCGAAAGCCCTGGCCGAGGGAGGGAGGAAAAAGGTACTGTACCCGTTCTTTAGAATTAATTGATATGCCTAAACCATCAAAGAGGAGGCTCCGCGCTATCCACTCATGCAATGACTGTAATACCTGTTCTATGAAATAGAATTGTGATGAGTGCTGTTATGCGGTTGTCTTGGTGCCTGCATCATTCATTTTAAGGATTTTTTTACTTTACAGCAACGTCTGGAGGAAGAATTTCAGAAGAAACTGGACAACAATCGAAGAGAGGCTGAAGAAAAAACAGAGAAACGCAGGAAGAAACGGTAAAAGCAACCAGTCTACTCCTAGATCCAGGAGACCCTGTCAATGAATGGACATTACAGTTTATCACTCATTTCCAATTCAATAGAACTGAGGCAGTGAGAGATCAGAATTGTCATCCTGATATACCTGTTCTGTTTGATTTTTACTATGTGTTTTAGGAGTTTCTATCGGTTATTAGTGATGAGTCCACTGATGGATTTGTGACTCAGCTACTCAGTAAAATAACTGCAGGGTCAATGCCCTTCTTGTATGGCATTTGCAGATCCAGGTTGGGGCTATTCGTGCCACAGTTTATCTTGAATCAACATTCATCCCCTACGCTCACCAGACACAGCAAGCAACTTTAGTGAGTGTCTAAAGGTATTGTCTTGTTCTCCAAGCAAGGATTCACTTGGATTTGGCTTTGGGGAAAAGTTGCTGATTATGGGAATACTTGCACCCATTATTAGCCAATCTAATCAATGACCTACTGGCTGAAAGCAAAGCTTTTTATCTAGGTTGGGAAGCACTAATTGACAATTGTAAATTTAGGTATAAGGAGCAAATTACTAACTTATTTTTCTCAATACAGTCAGAAGTTGAAGGAGAAGAAACTGTTGGCAAAGAAAGCCAAGCAGGACCTTACAAAAACCGCAGAAGGTGAGCTGTGCTCAATTTCTGATTCATTCCAGGCTGTATCAAAATTTAATGCCTGGAATTTTTTAAGGAACAGTGGTTGCTGAAGGATCCATCAAAAGTCTTGTTGCTTATTCCCTGATTTAAATGCAACCCCTAGACCCATTTTCAGAAAGGAAACTGGAAATGCTTGGCAGCGTCTTTGAGGAGAGAAGCAGTTAATGTTGTGACCTTTTCATCAGGTGATCGGTTTAAGAAATGTTGAGTTCTCTTTATTTTAAGCTGCACAATTCTACTGTGACTCCTGTGTCGAGAGATGTGTTGAGCCAGACTGTAAAAGATATTGTAATTAATTTTAAAGCTGAATTTTTCAATCCGGCTTAGTACCTGATTTAGAAACACGTTAACCTCTGATATTTAACAAAAGTTTTGCAACGTTAGTTATTGTACTGATATGTGACTACATTAATTTTGAAGGAGAACCCCATTTCTGCAATTTATTTCCATTTAAATAATTTTATGCTTTTCTACTCTTGCTACCAAAGTGGACGAGTTCATATTTTCATTGTATTATATTCATCTGAAAAATTTTTGCTCTCTCATTTAACCGCTATTTCTTTGATAACATGCCTTCTTTACCTATTTTGGTGTTGTTGGAAATCTTAGCAATTATTTGTTCAGTCCCTTCAATCAGATCATAGATAAAGATTTACAATCTTAAATCAACCTGGAAAAAAAACTGCCATCATTCTTTATTTTCCATTATCAATTGTCCAGACACACATTAGAACACCAATGTTACTTTCAATTGCTCTTTTCTGATTAAAATATTTGGAGAAACTCTCATTACTTGTTTTTATATTACAGTTAACTTTTTGTCATACTTTGCTTTCAGTCTCTTTATTATCTTTATATTCATTCTTTGTTAGTTCTTAAAAACTATTCAATTAGTCATTGCAGATTTGTGCAGCATTTCTTTCAATTTAACACTATCCCTAACTTCTTTATATAGCCACAGATGAAGCACCCTGCTCAAACAGCTTTTCTTTCTCTCTGGGGTGAATCTTAAACATCTCTTTAAAAGTCTGCAACTACAAATCTACTGTCCTACTTTTAAGCTAGCTTCCCAACTCACTATAACCAACTCTGCCATCATACCCTCATTTACTTTTATTTAGATTTAAAACTTCATCTGTTTAGTCGCATTTTCTCCCCTTCAGACTGAACATGAAATTCTATTATGTTGTCATCACTCATCTAGAGGCTTTTTTTATCATCATTGATCAATGCTGTCTTGTGGCACTTTACAAAGTCTAGAAAAGCCTGCTCCCTGGTTGGCTCACGAATCTTCTTTGTCCCGAGTAGAATGAATTCATTTTTCAGGCTACCTTTGCCAATCTGATTACCAATCTACGTATACATTAAAGTCACCCATGATTATTGTGGTGCATTTCTTTCATCCTCCATTTATTTTTCCCTGTATTCTCTGTCCGACAGTGTAGCTACCATTGGGGGACCAATAATCTACTTCCACTAGGGACCTGTTACCTTCATTTATCTCTACCCAAACTCATTGTACGTCTTTGAAGTTAAGGTCATACCTCAGTTCTGAGTTAAGGCCATCTCTAACAAACAGAGCAATATCACCACTTTTTCTTAGCTTTCTATCATTCCGATATGTCAAATTCCCTTCAGCATTCCCTGCCTTGGTCACATTTCATCCATGTCTCTATTTGTTCCAGCAACTCATCCCTCTTATTGCAAATGTTGTAGCATACAGATGCAGACCTTAAATGTTTTATGAAAAATATTTTTACAACTTCTAACCCTATCTGCTGATGCATACTTATGCCTTTCCTGTCTCCATGCTGGTAATTGTAATCATAAACCAAATTGTCGTGCACTAATACTTTATTGTCTCCCTTTATGTTCTTGTATCTGCCATCACTTCATCTCTTTCTAACATCCCAGTTTTTTTGTTAGGAGCTGATAATTTCTTTATCTGTGAGGAAGAAAAGGACTATCAGACGGCACTCTGCTTATACAATTGTTCAAGCAGATTTCATTGCTCAATTATTTAGGTGCAGTGGACAGGGGAAGCCTTCGTTTATAATGACAAATGTTCTGAGATGATGGTTGAACTCCGAAGTGTCCTTTTGTGAATATCACTTTCTCTAATCTGTACTCTAGGCTCTGATGACACTTCCGGTAGTGAGGAAGAAGAGAACAGCCCCAAAGAGAAGGTGGACGACTGTGAAGAACCAAGTTTTGTAATGGGTGGTCGGTGACCTGAACCTCCATGAAACAAGGACTCGATCGACACAGCAACGTGTGACTGTGGGGATTTGGTGATTGGAAACTTCTGGTCCTAAATACAAGCAGCAAATTGGTGAAATTCCCAACAGGTCTGACAGTATTCAGAAAGTTACTGTTTCAGACTGTGGCTGTCTGTCAGACTAGAATCCTTCCTCTTTCTGAATCCTAATATTGGCTGCAGTTTTGCTTTGAACAACAGTTGCCTTTTCTCAGCACAGGACCAGCAAAAGATCTACTTTTCAATGTATGAAGTTTTTTTTTTGGGAACATTTGATATTCAAATAGAAACTGAGTTGCTAAGTTTTGATTCTCTTGTACATAGCACACAAAGTTAGTAAACATTTTATATGTTCAAAGTTTTTTAATGAGTGTATATTGTGAATATTTGTAACTGTTCTGTAAAACCAGATTTAATTCTAAGCAAAGTCCAAGATTGACTTTTTAAATCTTTCTTGGCATGTGAATTCTATGAATCCCTAATTCATAGAATTTCAGAATTATTAAAGACTAGAAAGATATAATTTTGTCCATCATGTAGGTTGGGTACTGTCCTCTTTTTTAGCTCCTGACTTTAAAGGGAGTGCTAATCTGAAGCCCCATATTTAGTTTTGTATTTTCTGCAAAGTTGCCATGCAATTCCCCTCAATCTTCCAATGTCATGAAGTCAAACCATCACTGTCCAAGTCAGCAGGGCTGCCAATCAGAAAGTGAGTTTTTTAATCCCAACTCTCTAGCATTCAGCTCCCAACCAAGCTCACATCTACCCAAACTGTTCAGTACTTCTTGCAGGACTGTCATTAAGGCTCCCTGTCTTAGTTGTAGTTAGTTAAATTCCCAGTTCTGATGTAACTGTTTTGAAGCTACAGTTGAAGGAGTCAATGCCACTTGATGCCTGCACTAGGCAGCAGCTTCCTCTGTGGTTATGAGCATGGTTTAGCAGTAGCACTTACCTTAATGCCTGCGGGTCAAGTCTCACTCCAGAGATCATTGCGTAATTCTGTATGGTTAGATTGTTGAAAGTACAGTAGAGACTTCTGTATGAATGGTTATCAGATTTAATTTACTGTTTCAAGTGGGTGTAAAAATAATTCTATTGCTCTAGAAGAAGAGTGACAAAATATTTATCCTTCAGCGCACATTACAAAGAAATTCTGGTCATTCCCATTTTTGTTTATGGGAGATTCCCATGAAAAAGTAGCCAGCTGGTCATTGCAACTATACAACAGTGACTACATGTCAATTACTTCACTGACTCTAAAATGTGTTGGCACACCCTGAGGCCACAAATGGTGCTATATAACTGCACATTGTGCTTATTCGATTTCCTTGTGCTAGGGTGTTTTAGGTTATCTGGATGGGAAGAGGGTTCACATCTTTGGGACGTGGAGGTATTTGTTATAGTGATTGGCTGCTCCTGTACATGTACCGGGCAATCTTTATGCAGGCTGTATTTTACAAGCTGTTTTCCAATGGAAGATGAGTTTGGGAGGAGCAGGGCAGCATGGTGGTTCCATGGGAATTATCCAGGAAGAATGATGTGTATCCCATAGGGAAATGTCTATTCAGGAAACGGGCAGAGGGATAATTTAGATAAATGATCTGTTGCTGTTGTGGTGAGTGAGGGTGAGGAGTTGTGTTTAGTGAGAAAAGTGAGTGCTGACCTCCCTCTTCTTGAATTGCAGTGACTGTGCTGTTTAGGTTGTGAGATCGTCAATACTCAAGGGGTCCATTTACACCAAATGATCAATTGCTGATCTCACCAGTCACTCCCCTTATCCAGTGAATAACTGAGAAAGTAGAATGAAGAATAAAGTACAGTACAGTACAGTTCAGCAACAGGCGCTTTGGCTGTTACATGAGGCCTTTCTAACATTAAAAATCTTATGTCTCTATGTGGTCCATATCCCTCTTTTGTTTTGGGTGGGGGAGGCAATGGCCTAGTGGTATTATTGCTGGACTGTTAATCCAGAGACGCAGGTAATGTTCTGGGGACCTGGGTTTAAATCCTGCCACGGTAGTTGGTGGAATTTGAATTCAATAAATATCTGGAATTAAGAGTTTAATGATGACCATGAATCCTTTGCCGATTGTCAGGAAAACCCCATCTGGTTCACTAATGTCCTTTAGGGAATGAAACTGCCATCCTTACCTGGTCTGGCCGACCTGTGACTCCAGATCCACAGCAATGTGGTTGACGCATAACTGCCCTTTGGGCAATTAGGGATGGTCAATAAATGCTGGCCTAGTCAGGGATGCCCTCATTCCACGAATGAATTTTAAATAAAATTCCTCACCTATTCATGTGCATGTCAAGATGCTGAGAGGACAGAGATTTTAAAAAGATATGAGGGGCAACTTTTTTTACACCGGGTAGTTGGCATGTGGAATAAACTTCCTGAGGAAGTGGTGGATGTAGGCACAGTTACAATGTTTGAGACACTTAGATAACGCTTTTTAGATTCACGCTTACGTGAATAGGAAAGGTTTGGAATGATATGGGCCAGGAGCAAGCAGGTGGGATTAGCTTAGTTTGAGATTATGGTAGTCATGGACTGATTGGACTAAAGCGTCTGTTTCCGTGCTATGTGATTCTATAACTATTCGCCTCTCCCAACTCCTGACAATGCATTCCAGATACTTACCATCCTCTGTTTAAAAAAAAAAACCTTGCCTATCACGTCTCTGGCCCAAACGGCCTGCTTCCATACTATAGGGCTTTTGTAATTCTATAAACTCCTTTAAACTCTTCCTGTTTTACCTTAAACATATGTCCCCTAATAATTTGATATTTGTACCCTGGGAAAAACACTCCAACTATCTCTGCTATCCACATGCCTCTCATAATTTTGTGTACCTCATTGCCTCTCACCTCTAACCAAGTTTGTCCAATCTCTCCTAGCAAATACCCTGCAAACCAGGCAACATCCTGGTAAATCGTTTCTGTACCCTCCAAAACCTCCATATCTAGTGGTGTGGTGACTGGAACTATATGCAATATTCTAAACGTGGCCTTACTAAAGTTCTATACAGCTGCAGCATGACTGCCACCAATTTTTATTCTCTTATACCCTGACTGATGAAGACCAGCATGCCATTTGCCTTCTTGACTGCCTTATACACTTGTGTTGCTATTTTCAGGGTACTGTGGACTTGTATACCTAGATCTCTTTGTATGTTGATGCTAATAAGGATTCTACCATTTACTGTAAACTTCCTTCCTACATTAGACCTTTCAAAGTGCGTCACCTTCCATGTGTCCGGATTAAACCTCATCTGCCATTTCTCCGCCTAAGTGTCTATCTTTATCTCTGACAATCCTCCTCACTATCCACAGTTCCCCCAATCTTTTCCATCTGCAAACTTACTAATCAGGCCACCTTCATTCTCCTCCAATTCATATATATATAATATAACAACAGGGGTCCTAGCACTGATCCCTGCGCAACACCAGTAATTATAGATCTCCAGAAAAACACCCTTTCACCGCTACTGTCTATCTTCTATGACTAAGCCAGTTTTGTGTCCATGTTACCAGCTCACCCCGGATCCTGTGTAACTTCACCTTTGTATCACCTGCCATGAGGGACCTTGTCGAAGGTGTTGCTAAAGTCCATATAGACAACATCTACCACGCTGCCATCATCAATCATCTTTGTCACTACCTCAAAAAACTCAATCAAGTTTGTGAGCCATGATCTTCCCCACACAAAGCCATGCAACCTGTCACTAATAAGTCCATATTTGTTTCCAAATGTGAGTTAATCCTACCAATAAGAATCTTCTCTAATAATTTCCCTCCCACTGAGGTAAATCTTACCAGCCTGTAGTTTTCTGGATTATCCCTGTTGCCCTTCTTAAACAAAGGAACAACATTGGCTATTCTCCAGTCCTCCGGGACCTCCCCTGTGACTAAAGAAGATACAAAGATTTCATACAGGACCCTAGCAATTTCCTCGCCATTCTGGGTTAGATCCTATCAGGTCCTGGAGACTTGTCTACTATGATGCTTTTCAAAACACCCAACACCTTTTTTAATAATCACATGTTCTAGAACATCAACACATCACTCCCAAGAGTCACCATACACCATGTCCTTCTCTAGTGTGAATATCAATACAAAGTATCATTAAGGACCTTACCTCCATCCTCAGGCTTCACACACAAATTTCCCCCTATTTCCTTGAATGGACCTACCCTTTCCCTATTCACCCACTTGCTCATTAAAGATCTACAAAACACCTTGAGATATTCCTTAATCCTGTTTGCCAAAGACATTTCATAGCATCTTTTATTCTTCCTAATTCCTTGTTTGAGTTCTTTCCTGTTAATTTTGTATTTTTTGAGGGGTCTGTCTGTCTGTCTTCAATTTCCTAAACCTTACATTTGCCTGCATTTTCTTTTTGACTAAGCTGTCAATTTGTCTTGTCATCCAAGGTTCCTGAATCTTGCCATTCTTATCCTTCATTGTCACAAAAACATGTTGGTCCTGAACTCTAATCGATTGACCTTTAAAAGATTCCCACATACCAAATGTAGATTTATTCTTAAACAGCCACCCCCAATCTGCATTCCCCAATTCCTGCCTGATATTGTCCTGGTTAGCCTTCCTCCAGTTTAGTACTTTCACCCGAGGACTACTCTTATGCTTATCCATCAGTAACTCAACTTATAGAATTATGGTCAGTGTTTGTGAAATGTCCCTCCCTGAAACTTTGATCGCCTAGTCAGGTTCATTCCCTAATACCAGGTATAGGAAAGCCCCTTCCCTACCTGGACTATTTGCCTATTGTTTCAGGAAACCACCTGACAAATTCCTCCTCACCCATCCCCTTGCACTAAAGGAGTTCCAGTCAATATAGGGGAAGTTAAAAATCACCCACCACAACAACCCCATTACTTTCACATTTTTCCATACTCTGTCCATATATATGTACCTCTATCTCCCACTGGCTGTTGGGGAGGACTGTAGTACAAAGCCAACAATGTAATTGCACCTTCCTATTCCTGACCTCACTGGATAAGCCCTCCAAGGTGTCCTCCCTCAGTACAGCTGTGATATTCTCCCTAATCAGTTATGCAAGTCTTCTTTCACATCCCTCTCTATTTTGCCTGAAACACTTAAATCCCAGAATGATGAGCTGGAGGTATTGTCCCTCTCTCAACCAAGTTTCTGTATTAGCTACAACAACATGGTTATATGTATTAATCCAAGATCTCAATTCATCAGCTTTATCTATCATGTTCCTTGCACCAAATCAAAAACACCTCAGACCGCCAGTCTTGCTGTGTTCAATAATCTCTCCCTGTCTGTTCTTCCTCTTAGCTTTCCTGGCCTTAGTCTCCTCCTCAGCCATTTCACGTGCTGCCCTACTGCTCTGGTTCTTGCTTCCATCCCCACCCCTATGTTTAAATCATTCCAAGTGGCACTAGTAAACCTCCCTGCCAGGATATTGGTGCCCCTCCACTTAATGTTCAACCTATGCTATTTGTACAAGTCCCACCTTCCCCAAAGGACATCCCAATGATCCACATAACTGAATCCCTCCCTTGTACACCAGCTCTTTAGCCATGTGTTTAACTGTACAATCTTCCTATTCCTTGCCTCACCGAGATTATAACCCTAGAGGTCCTGCTTTTCAACTTCCTTACTCCCTGAACTCCTTTTGCAGGACTTCATCTTTCTTTTTGCTGATGTTATTAGTATTAATATGGACGACAACGTCCGGCTGTTCATTCTTCTTGAGAATATCCTGTGCCTACTTACAGGAATCCTTGACTTTGGTACCAGGGAGCTAATGTACTATCCTGGAGTTTTGCTTACAGCCACAGAAACACCTATCTACGCCCCTGACTATACAGTCCCCTATCACTACTGCTCGCTTACTTGAAATATTTGCTCAAAACTTTATACCTTGAGTAACCTGACAGCAGGTTGTTTTCAGGAACAAATGAAAGTTGTTTAGTCTGCAATTGGACCTGCTGTCAGTAGCTTCACTGCAATTGTAAAGCTATGTTCATAAATATAAGGGCAGACCCATTTTACTATTCTGTAAATTCATGACTGATCTGATTATCAACTCCTCTTATCTGCTCTCTATCACTATATTCCTCAACTCTGTTAATACCCAAAAAGCTTGAATATGTTCTCAAACTTCTCTCTGAGGAGAACGGCCACAGCTTCTCCTGTGTCTCCACATTACAGAAGTCCCTCGTTCCTGGAATATTTCCTGTAAATCTTTTCCATACCCTCTTTAGAGCCTTCACATCCTTCAAGAGTAGTGTCCAAAATGGGATCTGGTCAAAGCTGAGCTGGTATTTTATCAAGATAACAAGGTGTAGAGCTGGATGAACACAGCAGGCCAAGCAGGAAAGCTGACATTTCGGGCCTAGACCCTTCTTCAGAAATTCTGAATACCAGAGATAGTAGGAACTGCAGATGCTGGAGAATCTGTCTACTATCACTGTATTGACCATTATCTACCACATGCCTGGTACGGGGGCAGGAATTGGAGACAGTGAGGACTGCAGATACTGAAAGCTAGAGTCAATAAATGTGAAGCTGGAAAAGCACAGCGTGTCGGGCAGCAGCCGAGGAGCAGGAGAGTCAACATTTCGGGCTGAAACCCTTCGTCATGACTGGGGAGGGGGAGGGGAGCCCAGAAATAAATAGAGGAAGGTGCATGGGGTTGGAGGGAGGGTAGGTAGGATGGAGATAGATGGATACAGGTAGGGGGTTATTGTAGTTACAGTGGGAAGGGTGGGGCGGATAGGTGAGTAGGAAGATGGAGAGGTTGGGGGAGGAGAGATTTTGGAGCTGGTGACGTCAATATTCAAGCCTTTGTGCCCTAAGTTCTCAGGGCAAAATATGAGGCATTGTTCCTCCAGTTTATGTTTGGTCTCACTCTGACAGTGGAGGAGGCCAAGGATGGACATGTCGCCAGGGAGTGGGAGGGGGAGGTAATGTAGTTGGCAACCGAAAGATCAG